ACTCTGGGCCTGGGCACTGTCCCTCAGCTCTTCAGCTCAAGGCTAGCACTCTACCACTTGAGCCACAGCACCACTTCCGGCTTTTTCTTTTTGCTTATGTGGTGCTGAGGAATCGAACCCAGGGCCTTGAGCATGCAAGGCAAGCGCTCTACCACTAAGCCACCTTCCCAGCCCCAGGAAGCTGAGATCTTAAGAGTCCTGGTTTAAAGCTAGCCTGGAAAGGAAAGTCTTTTATCTCCAGTCAACAAAAAAAAGCTAGAAGTGGAGCTACGGCTCAAGTGGTAGAATGCAAGCCTTGAGCAAAAGAACTCAGGGACAGCACACAGACACACGTGCGCGCGCGTGCACACACACACACACACACACACACCACACACACACACACCACACACACACACACACACAGACACACACACACGAATAGAGAATAAGCATGACTGGGAACTATAGCAGAAATAGGCAACACAGCTTTCTTTGATGTAAAAGTCTCAAATACTGACTCATCCTCTGCCTCTGTGAATTACCCCAGAAAAATCGGCGAGAGGAAAAAATATCTAAAAGAAAATTCAAAGCCGGAAGCCAGTGGCTCACACCTGTAATCCTAGCTACTCAGGAGGCTGAGATCTGAGCATGGAAGTTCAAAGCCAGCCTGGGCAACTGGGAAACTCCCCATGAGAATTATCTCCAATAAACCTCCAGAAAACCAGAAATGGCACTGTGACTCAAGTGATAAAACACTCAATTTGACCTGAAGAGCTCAGGGACAGTACCCAGGGCAAGAGTTCAAGCCCCTCAACCGACCAAAATGAAAAAAAAGAAAAGAATACTCAAGGGAGCAGCACTGACCTGTCATCTGGTCACCTGTCTCAAGCATCACCCAGTAAAACTGCCAAAAATAAAGGACCTGTAGCTACCTCTGTCTCTGAGCTCCAGGTGGAGCACCCATGACATACAACCCCCCTTCATATCAACACCAGAAATGGTTTTCACATGGACCTGCATTTGACAATTGTGCTTTGAGGGATGAATCTGCAGTTCCTAAAACTCATCTGATCCCCTACAGAGACATTTCCTTGTGTTGGTATCAGTTTCCTCTGAGTTCTCTGAACACTGCAGCTTCTTTAATCTTTCCATAGGCATTGTGTGACATGTATATAGTTAATGTGTGAAAGACTGAATTATGATCTGAGGGCTAATATTAGTAAAGACTGGACCAAAAATCCTGCATTACCAATGGCTTATGCCTATCAAGTGAATTCAGTAGAATTTGGCAAATTAAAGCCAATGAAACTGAAAAAATAAAATAAACTTAAGTCTCTGGGCTGGGTGGGGGTAGAGGGATAATTCATATCCTTACTTTTTGTTGAACTCTGGGCCTAGGTACTATCCCTGAGCTCTTCAGCTCAAGGAGAGTGTTCTGCCACTTTGAGCCAAAGCTCCATTTCTGGTTTTCTGGTGGTTTATTAGACTGGGCTGGCTTTGAACCGTGATCCTCAGATCTCAGCCTCCTGAGTTGCTGGCACTCGGTTATCCTTACTTTTTAAGTATCTACAAACATGTGAACCTCTTACATAAGGGTTTTGCTTTTGGCTTTGCCTATGTCAAATCATTCAGTAAAGTACAACATGGGAACTTATCAACATGAGAGCTTTAGAAAAGAACAGTGGTTTCCATAAAGAGAGACCTCTGGCAAAATAATCTACAATGTGAAGCTGATCATATTCTTCCTGAGCAGCTTTAAGTATTGCTGACCACTGTAAGAAATAATGTCCATATCCCAATGTTCCTAGAAATACTCAGCCACATGGAACCATTCCTTCCACACAACTCTTACCTGTGTAAGTGCAGAACACTCCACATACTTGACAGCCTTCAGATCACGTGCCAACTTTTCAGCAGTCTCTGGAGTAATAGGCTTCTGTTTGTTCTTGGCAAGTTTCTCAATAGTGGAAGGGTCATCTCTAAGATCAATTTGGGTCCCAACAAGCAGGAAAGGAGTCTTTGGACAGTGGTGAGTAATCTCAGGCACCCACTACAAGGAAAGGTATTTAAAACACACCTGTGTTAATAATGTACAAAGTTCTAAAGCGCTACTTACAACAGGCCAAAAGAAATTCTATGACTACCTTTTATAGAGGAAGAGTATCTAACCAATTTACCTTTTCTTTCACATTTTCAAATGAAGACGGAGAAACCACTGAAAAACAGACTAGAAATACATCCGTTTGTGGATAACTCAGTGGTCGTAATCTGTCATAATCTTCTTGCCCTAAGAAATGAAGTTAGAGAGAAAAATCATCAATTGCATCTTACTATCTTCATAGCATTAAAATGAAGTCAGCTGACAGATTAAGCAGCTTAACAGCACACTGAACATTAGCCATAGAACAGTATCTCTAATAAAATGGCTTAGGTCCAGGAATGCAGCTTAGTGGAAGACTGTTTGCCTAGCATGCATGAAGCCCTGGGGTTCAATTCCTCAGTGACACATAAACAGAAAAGGCCACAAGTGACCCTGTGGCTCAAGTGGTGGAGCACTAGCCTTGAGCAAAAGAAGCTCAGGGATAGTGCCCAGGCCCTGAGATCAAGCCCTAGGATTTGGGAGGGTGGGGAGGGGCAAGGGAAGGGAATGTGGCTTATGTATTATTTGGACAATATTTTCTCTCAGATAATTTTACTTATGTCAAGAAAATTGTTGTTCAGCCAGTGGCTTATGCCTGTAATCCTAGCTATTCAGAAGGCTGAGATCTGAAAATTGAGGTTCGAAGCCACCCCAGGCAGGAAAGCCCCAGAGACTGTTATCTCTAATTAACTACCAAAATGGCCGGAAGTAAGCCCAGGCCCTGAGTTGAAGCCCCAGGACTGGCCAAAAAGAAAAAAAAAAGCTGGAAGTAGAGCTGTGGCTCAAGTGTTTAAAGCACTAACCTCAAGCAAAAAAGCTCAAAGACATGGCCCAGGCCCCAAGCTGAAGCCCTAGGACTGGCACATATACACAAAAAAAGTTTTGCTACTACATCTGGGCTCACATCTGTACTAAATAAAAACAAATACCTACAAATTAAATGTCAGATGCCAGTGGCTCACACCTGTAATCCTAGTGAGATCTGAGGATCAAGGTTTAAAGCCAAGCCAGGCAGGGAAGTCCATGAAACTCTCATCTCCAATTAAAACATCAAAACACTGGAAGTGAAGCTGTGGCTCAAGTGATAGAATGCTAGCCTTGAGCAAAAAATCTTAAGGATAGCATTTAGGCCCTGAGTTCAAGCCCCAGGACTGGCACTCAAAAAAAAAATAAATCCAAGCAATTCAAAAAGAACTGAATAACAAAATTCCAAGAGATATTTGTATACCAATGCTCATAACTATTTACAATAGCTAAACCATGAAAGCAAGTCATATATAGCAATCATAAGATGAGAATGAAGTATCCATCAACTTACAAATGGATAAACAAATTCTGCTGTATTCATGGAATACTGCTCAGCAATAAAAAAAAAAAAAAACTGTTGACACATCTAGCAAAGTTGGATCTTGCAAACATTATGGTATTTAAAAACAGTCAAACATAAAATATTCAGATGCAGTCCTATAACCAGTAGATCTGTAATTGTCTGGGGGCAGGCCATGGTCAATCCTAGAACCAACAGATCTGTAATTGTCTGGGGACAGGTCATGGGAGGAAAGGATTGACTGCAAAAAAGGCACAAAAAACATTTAGGATTATAAAATACGATATCTATCTTGATTATTGTGAAGGAATTAATCAAATTTAATACTTGACAGGAATGAACTTTACTGTATTATTCATCAGTACAACTTTTTAAAGTATCAATTAAAAATGCCAAGACTTACAAAAATGAGCTTTACAATTTGAAAATTTTTAAGTTAATTTCAACCACAAGTAGCCATTCATACATTGTTCTTTTCTGCATACAGATTGCCTCCAGAGGACAGATATAGAAGGGGTGGAGGGGGTCTCTCAACTATTATTTTCTCTTTTTAGGTTTCTTCTAGCATACTATCTAGGATATATAAAGCTATGGTTCAATTCTCAATAAGGTCCGAACCTGTGCTCGTAATAACAGCACTCAACCACTTGAGCCATACCTCTAAGTTTTTTTGTTTTTTGTTTTTATTCTGGTCTTAGGGCTTAAAACTCAGGTCCTGGGTGGTGTTGTCTTTTAGCTTTTGTGCACAAGGCTAGCATTCAACCACTATGAGCCACAACTCTACCTCCAGCTATTTGAGGTAGCTACTGGAAATCAGAATCCTTTGTACAACTACTTTATTTTTTGATTCTTTTTTTTATTTTTTTTTCTTGTACAACTAATAAGACAGGCACCAATGTTTTGAGCCTATACCCTAGTTACTCAGGAGTCTGAGATCTGATTCAAAGCCAGCAGCAGAAGACTCATCTCCAATTAACTACCAAAAGAAGCTGGAAGTGGAGGTATGGTTCAAGTAGTAAAGCACTAGCCTTGAGCACAAAAGCTTAGGGACAGTGCCCTGGCCCTGAGTTCAAGCCCCAGAACCAGCACTTCCCCCCCACTCATCTGCAAAAAAAAAAAGATAATACAAATATAATTTAAATTTTAAGAAAGGTAAGAGATTTGCTAATATGCTATTTTCCCAAGATGACCAAAAGGACATACCACCAGCAGCAGCTACTACAGTTAAAAATCAGAACATTATAAAAGAAATTTAAGTTTTTACCTGCAGTATCAAAAAGTCCAAGAGTATATGGCTCTCCACCAATCATAACCGTGACTGCATAGTTGTCAAAAACCTAAAAATTTTAAAAATTTAAAAGATACTTTGTTAATATGTAAAGGGCTACAGTAGCTCAGAAAGGGATGAGGCAATTCCTAAGCAATTATTGCCATCTTTCTTATACAGTCAAAACATCGAACTAAGCCCTTTGGTGAGTTGAATGGTTGCTGGGAAGAGGGACAGAGGATTTGTCCTGGGATGTATGCTCTATCACAGCAGCCTAGATAAAGAGCCATACAAGTATTAGAGGTATCACAATAGTGAGTCCTCAAGCTACAGATAATGATACTTAGGTATGAAATTTCTGTGTCAATGTTCAATCTGTATTTCTTCATAGATTTTCCTTTTAATCTAGAATTAAAATCTCCTAGATTCATGATAATCTTGTTTTTCCTTACAGGGTCCCAGAAAGAACCTTGTTACAAACAACCCCATGTGAGACAAATAAAGCAATCCAGGAAAGTGTCCAAGAAAAGGCTCACAGATTATTTGTTAAGAATTCCAAGAATAACATTTGTATTGGGCTTGGAAGTGTTACTCAGTAGTAGAGCACTTGCCTGGCATATGCAAAACTTGGGCTTGTTTTCCAGCACAAAATAATAAATTCATGTAGAGAAGAAACCACATGATCTCTAAGGCATCTTCTCTGACCAACTGTTTTATTTATAATTAGATCATAAAACACTTAACAAACTCAATATATGCTACTATTGGTTATACTAAGTTTATTTGTGAAAGTGGGAGATGAGAGTGCTAGTGGAAAAGACTCATCACACTAATTCATGGATTCCTTTGAATCACTTTGGAATCAAAAAGCAATGTCTTTAGATACAACTGTAGTTTTGTCCATTTGCAATTAATTTTTTTAATAATTGAGACTTTTTTTTAAAGAACAGTGTTTTCTACCATGGAAAAGTGTACTGCATTTGAAGATCAGTCTTGCTTATTAACCTTTTAGCTAGCTACTTCTAATTTCTGGCTCATGTTTTTATGCCTTGCAAAGAAAGATGGAAACAGGGTAAAAAGGAAATGATAGTTAAAAGTCAGTACTTGTTAACAAGAACCATAGGAGAAAAGGAAAAAGAAGAGGAGGAGGAGGAGGAGGAGGAGGAGAGGGGGAGGGTGCTTTTAAGGTCTCAAACTACATGTTTTCTTTTTTCTTTTTTTTTTGGACTGATCCTAGGCACTGTCCCTGAGCTTTCTGTGCTCAAGGCTAGCACACTCTACCACTTGAGCCACAACTCAGCTCCACCCTTATGTGGTTAACTGGGGATAGAAGTCTCATGGACCTTCCTGCCTGGGCTGGCTCCCAACCACGACCCTCAGATCTCAGCCTCCTGAGTAGTTAGGGTTACAGGTTTGACCCAAAAGTGCCCAGCTACAAGTTAATTTCTTAAGTCATGCTCAAGAAAATAGACTCAAAAACAGCCTTCATTTACAACCTACATTTTACATGTATATTACCCTACATTTACAACTATATTATAGGACTGGACAGAGAAGCAGAAAAATCTCAAAGCGGGACTGTGAAGGTGGCTCAGTGGTAGAGTGCTTGCCTTGCATGCATGAGGCCCTGGGTTTGATTCCTCAATACCACATAAGCAGAAAAGGCTGGAGGTGGCGCTATGGCTCAAGTGGTAGAGTACTACTCTAGAGCTGAAGAGCTGAGGACAGTG